CACCCGAAACACACACACACACACACACACACACACACCTCCCCCCGGCCTCGCCTCCCGCCTCTCTCGCCGGCTCAGAGCGTCGCCGAGCTAAAACCGAACCTCCCTCCGGCGGCCGCGGGGCGTCCCCGATCCCGCAGCCGGCTCTGGGGCTGCGGAACCGGGCACCCTCCGTGGGCAGCATCGCACCCGCCCCGATGCCCCCGGGACCCTCCTCTCGGTTCTTGTGGCTCACGCCCCGCCGCGCCCCTCTCCGCCAGGTCACGGGGGACCGCGGGGACGGAGGTGGCCCTGGCCCCGGGGTGTCTCTCTGCGCCCCAGTGCCCGTTTGGGCAGCCGAAGGCTGCTTGTTGGAAGTTGCGGGAGAGCTCACGGAGGGCTGAGGGTTGAGGCTGACTCAGGTGGGGTGCGGGCACGGTGGCAGCTGCGCCGTGCCACAGCACACGAGGGACGGGACGCAGCCACCGGGGAAAGCGGGGTAAACAAACAAGTGGGATTAGGAAAAGGGCCGCAGTAAAACAAGAGTTAAAAAATAGAGGGAAAGATCAAAGCGCTGGGTAAAAGACTCTTCAAATTACACGTTTGAAGCTTTTCCATAATTCCAAGGCGACAGATAGATAACAAGCTGCACATTCCTTATCACATATGGAATCAATCTGAAAGGAGTCTCTTGATCAGAATCTGTTAATTGCAGTGACATATGATTTGGAAAGAAAACACAATTAATGACCCTTCGTGTTAAGACTTTGGGACGAGGCCACTGACAATCCGCACTCTGCAGCCAACGTCAACTCAGCTATTATTGGTAGTAGTAGTACTAGTAGGAGTAAACTACTAAAGAGAGACATTCTTCGAGCCTCGGCGACTGTTTTGTCTCTGTTCCCGTTGCGTGTTTCTTCAGAAGGGGGAGGAGAAGAGAAAGGGACACGAGTGCGTGTGTGCCTTTCCTTCAAGGTTTGGGGAGCTAAAATGATTTAGTACCTTGTCTGTAAATCTAATGACCTAAGGTGAGAAAAAATACTTCATCTTTTATTATTACCATTTGTGGTGAGCGTTACCAGGAAACAGCAGAACCCTTTTGAAATGGTAAATATATGTATCCATTTAAAACCCATTATTGCAGAGATTTTCCCAAAGAGGAATAAGGCAAATCCGCCCAATCTCATTTTCTAGCGCCCTCTGTCCACAGGTCCCCTTGGCTCGGCCGCCCCTTCCCAGGCGCTGGGACCGTCGAGCCTCGGCCGAGCCTTCCTGGGTGCTCTGGGTGCGGGGAGGACCCACAGAAAGAGTGGGTGCTCCGCGGCTGTTAATGCACCACGCGTTCTGTAACGTTAGGAGAGGAGGTAGCAACATTTTCAAAAGCTGTACTCTGTCATTAAAAGGTATTGGCTTTGTTTTAGAAGGGGGAGGGAGAGGTTCATTTGAAGGTTAGAAAGCATACACTTTAATAGGATCGAAGTGAAATTAGTTAATAAGAAAATGCTGGCCAGAAGCTCTCCGGGCTTTTAAGTGCTCTCCAGGCCATTTAGGGAAATTGAATAAGAACAGACTCCGTTACCTGCAGCCCCAACTATTATCTCCCGTTTTGCACAGAGGCGAGAAGGGAAAAATAGTGCCTGAGAGACCTGAAG